TCCAATCCAAACATTACTGGTGCTACCACCTCCTTTATTAGAGTGAAATATCTCTTATGAATGAGATCATCAGCCTTGTGTAACAACTTCTCCTCACTGAGTAAGTTGCCACTCTAGATAGAGCATTTCCTTTGCTAGGAATGAAGAGATGTGAGTAGAGAGCCAATATTTCTCTGATACAAGGCATTGTTAGTTGTTGATACCACTGTGTTTTTGTGGGGCACTGGAGAAACAGTCTGACTTTTACAATCAGATCTCAAAACTTTGTTTCACTGCCATTGGTGATATAAGTACAAGCCAAGCTCATGTCTCAAATGTAGAAGATATTTTGAAATCTCTCCTGTAAAGACCACTGAGATATAAATTGACATGAGGGCAAAGGGGGCATTGGATATGAAAACAAACCAAAAGAAGAAAATCAGAAAATAATTTGATATCAAGGCCCATAAAATTGGCTTTTATTCCAGCAGTCTTTGCAAGAGAAAATCTTCCAAAGTGTTTGCAAACTCATGTTTTTACTTTAGTGCATTGCATTTTTATTTCCAGAAAATGCTGAGTGTTTGTCAACCGTAGATTTCTTACATATTATTTTTGTTAATATTAAGAAAAAAAAAAAAGCAGATTACTTCTGACTTTATTTGGACGGATGCTAACTAGTCCCCAGTGTTTTGCTAAGAGCTTAATTTATAGCCCTGCTCTTCTCGCAGTCCAAAATGAGTTTGCCCGAAGTGTTGATGGCTGTGTTTTGGTGTGACTGTGTGAATCTGTGCCGTGGTGTGTAGCATGCCAGACGTTCACCATGTGCTTCTTGCTGAGCCGCTCTCCATGTTGTGACCTTCTCTGTTTTTGTCCCTTTCTAGAAGCTGAGGAACTGTACCAGAAACGGGTGCTGACCATAACTGGCATTTGCATTGCTCTTCTAGTAGTTGGCATCATGTGTGTGGTGGCCTACTGCAAAACCAAGTAAACTTTTCTCATTCTTTTAATATCTGTGATCACTGGCCAGGGCTTTCCCAGTTGACTGTAGTTCTTACTCTTTTGAGAATGAAGTTGTAATCTGAGTTTCTCCAGACTTACTTAAGTCAAAGAGAAAAACATATGACTGAAATACTTTTGTCTAAGCCAGGTGGGTACAAGTGTCTATGTCAAACAGCAGTGCAAAAATGACAGAGATATCTGGCACATTTCTCACCTTTTGAGTATAGAATGAGTGAATTTGCTGACTTGCAATTCTTCATTTTTTATACATCCATACTTTCTCCAGCTGAAAGGGAGCAAATCCTAACATTGAAACCATGTTGCTATCCAGCAGTAAATTTTAACCATCAATCTAGTTGTTTTGTATTTGAGAGCAAAGTTAACAGCAGCAAGAGTTAATAAATACCAAAAAACTGAACAGAAAAGTGCTCCCAGTGCAGAATGTGCAATTAAATGCATTCTGTGATGTCTCCATAAATTATTGGGGGGAACTCTCAAACATGCACGAGGCATTTTGGACCATAAATCCTACACAGTATCAGCAAGATATGTGCTGGCAAATGTGCTGGCTGCTTTTATAAATCTCCCCACCAAAACACAAAACAAACTTACCGTAAATCTTACACATTTGTGTAAATCTGTTGATTTATTGTCATGATTTGCAGTTGGTTTGGGTTTCCTTGTAAGGTTTTCCTTCAAGCCCCACCAGTAACTGATGCAGTGGGCGAGCACATAGCAGTTGCCCCCCTTTAGGTGCATACGTAATGCTCCCAACCAGAAGCTTTCCACCAGTGGTCTGCTGGGAGTTAGGAACCACTGAAAAAGTAATAAAGAGATCAGCTTTCGCTTTTGCAAATGACAACTGGCAAGCCGGGGCAGCTAAGCAAAAACTTTTGTGATCCAAAGTTCACTGAAACCAGAAAAGGGGGTCCCCATGAATCTCAAGAAACGTACAGTCAGGACACCAACATGCAGCTTTGTTCTGTGAAGTGCTCCTAGAATCCGTCAGGAGCATGGACGATTTGTCACAATTTTTTCAGGACCTCTGACATCCAAGGGTAAAATGTTTTCAGTTATGTCTGGAGAGAGTGAAGGGGAGCTGCCCATTCATGGCCCTGCAGACGCAACAGCACTGCTGTCCAAGAGCTGTTCTGCAGGTGGGCCTTCCTCCTGCTGGGGGAAAACCCAGAAACCCAGGGAAATCCTGCAATGGGCAGACGAGAACACGCTGAAGAGCATGAAAGGTCTTAGATCTTGTGGGTCTCTGTGCAACAGATGCTGCTGAGAAAATGCTAAGATCTTCTAGCACTAGGTCTTGATTCAGACGTGCTTTATTTGCAAATCAATCACCTTAATAAAGACACTCCACAGAATAAGTGAAGCACACATTCACTTTCTCATTATTCTTTCCTCTCAGTTTCCCTGAGTTCCACAGTTTTTAGTTAACTTTCATTAGCTAGAGGACAGATGTCACACATGGAAGCATGGAAAATGCAAGTATATGGATCACTGAAGGTAAAAAATATTGTGGATTCCTAGGGACAGATTCCCAGGCAACAGATACTAGGCTTTGGGCCCATAGGTGATGGACATCATGTGTCTAATGTGATGGCTAGCTAGTTGTAGCATAGTTATTGTCCAAAGACAGATCCCACACAGCCCAGAGAGTGGCTCACATGGGGACAGCAGCAGTCTCAAGGCAGCAGTGGGTGCGAAAACCATTCATACGGAGTCACATAGATTAACTGTCATCCTCTCTCCAAGCACGCATGTACTGAGTGTAAAAACACAGCGTGTCAAGGAATGTTTTCTTTGTCTTTAAGCTTCCCTGGCTATCGAGCGTCAACATTTTTGTAGTTCTCTCTCCCCCTCCATTCTGGCAAGCCTGAAATAGTCCCCTTGAGTTCAGAAAGGGATTGACAGTGGTTATATCCTTCAGTGTCCTTTCCTGCCAAAAATATCTGCATTTCTGCATACGGCTTGGGGAACTGTGTGTGTATTAGCTCTTGCCACAGCCATAGTCATACGCACTCTGCAGTGCATTGGAGCCTGCATCCTCCTTTTGTTTCCATGGATCCTGTGGCAGGATGGTGGACATTTTCCAGTTTAATCAGACAAAAGTGGGGAATATTGATAAATTAAGTGTGAAACGGAATAGCAGTATCCACAGTGACTTACTCTGATTTTAAAACTATCTACTGCATTTTGCATGGCTTCCACAGTTTTAGATGTTAGTATGCTGCAACCTTTGTTGCTGACAGCTCCTAGTGATGTCCTAAAGGTTCTCCTGGGTAGATCCCAAAGGGTCAGCAATTGGGAAAGCAGCAGTTCAGGTCTGGGCACAAGAAGCATCCATGTCAGCAATGGCACTGGCATGGAAGATGGATGGGTCTGCTGAATGCATTAACAGCCCTGACGTCCATCTGGTAATCATTCGGTTCCAGAGTTAATCTGATGTTGCAGAAAGGAAATCTTTCAGGGCTGCCAGGCAGCCTGCAGACTCAGGCATGCCTTGCACACTCACTCACTTTGCACTTGGGAAGCTTCACTACCTTGTCTTCTTTAACACTTTTAAATGGAAGCTGAAGCTCTGGAGTGCAGTACTGCCATAGGGGACAAATGCTACAAAAAAATGTCTGTCCACAGTATCTCAGATGGCCCTAGTCTTGGTGGCTTTGTCATTAACATATGTCTTGCTCTACCTGAGAGAACAGAAAAAAAAATGCAGAAATAAGCATTACTCAATGAGGTATCAAAAATGTGACTCGGCCTTGGAGAGGATGTCACAGTGATGATAGGTTAAAATCCCTGACCCTCTTCCATTCGAATGCAGAGCAGCACTCCTCATGAGATGGAGTGCAGCTTGGAAATGTCTTTTTTCTTCCTCTAACTTTTTCATGTCCCTCTGGGGTCTGCTGACTCTTGGAAGGGCTCCCGCACATCTTTCTCCCTCTGCAGGTCCCCACAGCCCCAGCTGCAATTAGATCTGAGGTGTTAGGAGTTACTCTGAGACCTTGCAGCAGTGGGGGAAGTGTTGGCAATAGAGTGCTTTTATATTAGTGTTATCATCATCTTCATCATCATCATCACACTGGAAGGTGCAGCTGCTTTCCTTTGTCCATTAAGACCATTCCTGTGTTCCCCATGCAGGAAGCAGAGGAAGAAGTTGCACGACCGCCTTCGGCAGAGCCTGCGCTCAGAGAGGAACAACATGGTGAACATGGCCAATGGTCCACACCATCCCAACCCACCGCCAGATAACGTCCAGCTGGTCAATGTAAGTTTTACTGCCCGTGTTCAAGACTAAATTGCTTGAGCCATGGTAAAATTTGTCCCACAGCTTTTAAATTTGTAATTTGCAACTGCCTCAGACTGGTGACTGGTATCTCTTGATTTTTTCTACACAGAATCATTTAGAAGTAAAGCCATAAACATGCAATAAAAAGAGAAGTATTTCCACAAATCGTCAGTTTATTGGTGCATGTAGTAGTACTACAACTGAGCTTTTGAGCTAGAACACCAGAAGCAGCAAAAATGCTTCAGAAAAAATAATTGAATAAGAGCACTGGACTAGGACTGAGTGTGTGCAAAGGGGTCATTTATTTCAAGCAGATATTGCCTTATTCTTCCTACTGGCTTGATGATTGGTTCCTGGCTTGATGGTTGTTGACTAGAGCAGGCCACCTTTGATCTGGAGTACAACACCATGAACTCATGCTTCAAGCTTTGAGATACCATGGGCATCCAGGGAACGGGGCTCACTGTATTCCCAATTCCTGTAGTCCTCCAAAACAAGCTTCTCATCCAAAACAGGAATGACAATATGGGACTTTTTAATGAGGAAGACAAAGAAGTTAGGTGCCATTAACCAAAATACTGTGTAAGAAAAAAAGTAACAAGGAGTTAAAAAAAAAAAAAAAGAAGCTTCAGGAGTAAAAACCTGGATGAAAACCTCACGTGGATAATAGCACAGGATCCGTGCTTGGCCGGTGAGGTGAGGCTGGGGCAGATAC